TATGAGCTTCCGCAGCTCGTTTGCCTTTTTTGAAATAAAAAAGTAAAATATGGCGAAAATGGACGTTCTTTTCTTCCATATTTGTAACCGTGCAGTACGCACAATACTCTGGTATTAACCGGCGTATGTTTACAAATAGGTTAGATGGAACGTCGCTTTTCAGCTGCGCAAGCGCGTTGTGCGATAGCGCTGTGGAAAAGAGATAGCAGAACGAGTAAACCTACTCCGATTAAAAAACCGAACGAACTTATTTGCCAACCCAATATATATCATTTTTTTAGTATAAAACATATTTTTATACCAAATTCTCACATCGAATTCGATCACCCGCACTACATCAAATTGGTGAATATTGAAGGCTACCCAATAAGCAAGAAACATTAAATCAACCTTCTAAAACTTTGATTTTATGTGGATTTTATAAACATTTTGATGTAATGTATTTCATAAATGTTTTTGAACTGTTACTCAATAATATTATGTTTTTTCACATTAAAATCACACTGTAAAAACATTATTTTCAATGTTTCGGTCAAATATTGTTAACAGTGACAAGTTGTGTATAATATTAAGAACTAAATATTTGGAAACGTTACGTGTTATAAAATATCATTATTTCTTTCTCTCAATTCATGTGGGACCCAGTTTCCTAGTTTCTGGATCATTCCTATCGCTTTTAAACGTTTGCTAACGGTTGACTCATCAACATTTAATGTTTCCGATAACCTTTTAAGAATCTTCTTCCGGTAATACCCCATCTTCAAATTTTCTCGGCTGATCAGGGCGATCTTTGTCATTCACGTCAAAATCGTTGTCATTGAATCGTCTAAATCAATCTCTGCAAGTTGTTTCAGATAGAGCATATAACCCTCCACTAGTAAACAATGATTTTCAACAGCAGATTTCTTGAGATGAAAGCAGAAAAGGAATGCTTCTCGTAAACGCTCTTTTTTGCTACGAAACCCGATATTTTTAATACAATAAAAAATTGTGTTCATTGCACTACGATCTAATGTCACACACTGATTATTAAAGGCTATTGACAGTACTTTCATATATATCAACAGTTACTTTCGGCCATGTTGAAGTAGCACAACTATTGTTACCTCTGTTAGTCAACAGTGAGAATTAATTCAAGCATCTAATAAAAGAGCATTGGAGCATTTTATTTGATTTTGATAGAACCAGAATTTATTTCGTAATTTTGCTTCTCATGTCTCTATAGATGTGAGATTAAAGTTAAATTGTAAAAACAAGGTTGTTTTCATATATTAATATTATCTCAACATCAGCGTTCTGCTATTTTTTGCCTGTGACGTTTTCCTTTTTTCTTGTATATTTTGAAGTAGATTCTGACTGCATATAAGGGAATATTGCAGGCATTTAAGTAAAAAGAGAATGTAAGCAAGTTCGGAACGATCAAACACCTAATATTGATATCGATATCTTACCGTCGGCACTTTGCCGTTCAGCCGCTCCAGATCGCCGCTGAGCAGATTGTTCTCCTCGGCGATCTTTTCTTCATTATTTACAACGTCCAGATCGGAGTAGACCGGTACGGACAGCCGTTTCTCCGAGCTGCTCACCTTCTCCAAAGCATCCTGAGCGTCCTCCACGTGCACCTTGTGCAGCGAGTGCAGGGACTTGGACGCGCTGAAGTCGAAAGCGATATGCGTCTTGTTTTACGTGTCGAAAGAAAATGATAGATAGATAGAGAGAGAGAGAGAGAGAGAGAGAGAAAGAGAGAGATTCTGCCGGGCTTATTACTTCACAATATTAGGGCTGCTGCCGAGCAACTCGGCCGCCGTCGGGTATTCCGTGTTATTATTCGTGCCAAAGAAGCCGCTTCTATTCGGTTGCACGTTGCAGTGCAGCGAGGCCGTCGACACGCCCTTCCCCATCAACGTGCTCTTCACCTCGAGTGCGGCGTTTTCCACGGCGGGCTTCACCTTTATCCTCGTCGGCTTCAAGGGCCGGAACATGGCACCGAATATAGCGCAATTCAGCAGCATGCCTGTAAGCCACCAAGCGAATCACTCGCATCTTCGCTAACTCGTTCCCGCAGTTCGGCTCACCGGGAATCATTTGTAACGTTTATTCGTTCGTGAATAAATTCGAATCTATTATTACTCATTCGCGAAGTTGTTCGCGTCGCGAGAGACGCGAATCGTGCGACCACGTAACATGCGCTGAACGTTGTAATTACTCGAGTCGAAATTTGTACGGTACTTGTAACGCTTTTAAGGATAATTTGCGACCACTCGGAACAATTCATAGACTACATTGCTAACCCAAGTAAGTGTAATTTTACACACTTACGCATTTTGTACGCATGTTATTACCATGATTTTATACACATAAGCGTGTAAAAATTGCACATTTTCTACAAATTATTTTTAACTTGATTAAATTAATTGTATAGGCCGTTAATTTTTAAATTAATTAAAAAAGAAGTTAATTTATCCATCCCTGAATATATGGTCGAACCTCCGGCTCAGAGAACGCATCGTTACGATTATCCGAGTCGAAATTTGAATGCTATTTTTTGCTCCTATTTGCAGATGGCTTATAGATGAGTAGAAACCTACTTTGATGATACTGCACGTGTGAAATTTCCCTCGAACCTTTAATTCCACAGATTTCGTTTTAATGCAACTTTGAATTACAGATGTTCTCGATATCTCGATTAATAATCCTGCCGCCCTGTCCGGATCTATTTGATCCAAAATCATTTTTATTTCCCTGTTACATTTTCATGTGGTAAGTGAGCATTCTGGCATTTCTTGTATGACTTCGTTTCATAGCTTAGTTTCGAATTAATATTCTCGAGTTATGAAACACAGAAATGCTGTGAAATGCCAGAAATGCTATGAACAATTACGTGAATCATGTGAAATCACACGAATATATAACAGGGAAATAAAAATGATTTCAGGTCAAATAGACTCGAACAGCAGGATTAAATTCATATGAATATTCGAAACAATCTACTTTCATGCTGAAAAAAGCAGAAAGGAAAATTTTAAGATTTTAAGATCAAAGTATGAAATCAAAGTCTGAATAAATTATATTATTAGAATTGATCCTACATTATGTGTGTGTGTGTGCGTGTGTGTTTGTTACCTCAGCTCCTACTATGTTATAAAATTAAAAGTTTAACATAAATTCCAAATTTCAACTCGGGTATGCGCCTCGACAGAACACACAGACTTTCAAAACGCCGTGACGGGAGTATATTTGACAGTTGATTACGCACAAACGTCACGACGGTTATGACTCGACGAGGCGACTGGAACCGCGTACCGCGAGTAAAACGAGCATTTCGCGCACGAGCGTTTCGCAAGTGACTTTTCAATTAAACGATACGACACCCGCCTTGCGAACTTGCCTCGCGCAAGCGGCTCCCGCGCCGGCTTGTGTCACGTGTAAACGATATGCGCGCGCCTTAATCGCCCGCTTATTTCATCAGACGTTATTCCCTGCGGCGCGCGAGCCCCTGCATTATCGAATCAAACGCTCAGCGACATAACGTGTTATTAAGGCGGGGAAAAAGTGGAAACGCGCTCCCACCGTTTTTCAATGATGAGAAAGAAAGGAGGTAAGCCTCGGACTCGGCGAATTCGATTGAAGGTTTAATTGGAGAAAAAATCCCAGGGCAAGACTCGATTAGGCTGCGCCTACGTTCGCGCACGCGCGCGATAACTGCGCCGTGTCACTCGCGATAGAAAGCTGAATGAAATCTATAAATATATTCGACGCGTCCGTGGCAAAAAAAAAAAAACAAACGATCCAAATAGAAAATACGCTCTGAATCTCCTTCCGCAAAATTCCGAATCGAACATTTGTCGTATCGTAAATATCGAACACATATCCGTCAGAAGAGAGAGAAAGAGAGAGAGAAAGAGAGAGAGAGAGAGAGAAAGAATGAAGGGGGAGAAAGAGAGAAAGAGAGGGAGAGAGAAAGAAAGAGAGAGAAAAAGAGAGTGAGAGAGGGGAGGAGGGTGGGAAAGAAAGGATGTTCTGATTGGAAGAAACCTAAATTGAAGTTCGGTCGTGGAAACGTAGGTTGTGATCAGACGCGATCGCGTCGGATAAAGTACTCACCCGCTTGAAAGAGCAGCGCGCCTCTCCAGCCGAAGTTCTTCACGAGTAGATCGGAGATCGGCGCGAGGAGGAACGCGCCGATACCAGAACCGCACACTGCGATACCCGTGGCCAGGGCACGCCATCTCTCGAAGTAAAATCCGGTCGTGATCACGGCCGGCACGTATATTAGTCCCGCTCCGATGCCGCCTGATTTTCCCGAGAAGGAGGAAAAGAGAGAAAAATTTGCGATAAGATTCGCAGCTTCGATCTCGGATCTTGTGACACCGCGATTTCGATATCGCACGTATTACTCTCTTAATTTCTTAGAGAAAAAATGTTACGCAAAAATTAGAGTGATTTTTTATTTTCGTATAGAGTGAATTTTCCATTCTAGGTACCCGAGTCGAAACTTTAGCCCTGTGTTAAATCTTTAATTCTACGACACAGTAGGAGCTAAGATAGTAAAATAGCTTCAAATTCAATTCTAATGATATAATTTTCTCCTATTTTAATCCTAACGATGTGTTGTATTTTCGTTTCCGCCGTTTCAACGTCGAAATAGATTGTTCAAGATAACATTAAAATTAAATTTTCTTAACAATTCCTTGAATTCTTTCAAACGAAGCTTTATACATGCCTTCTCATCAATTTGAATAATTTCGAAAAGAATCTTTTTGTGCAATTTGATTTACATATTGGAATTAATCTTGTAAAATTTCCTCCATCCTTAAATCTGATCACACCATAAAGTCTATCTTTGTTAATTTAATTCTGTTAATTGAATGAGTAAATACATAAATCTATAGAATCAGAGATTTAAGAAAAAAGTTAATGTCAAAGTAGGTTTCCATGTTTAGACCGTCTCTAAGTAGGCGCGAACTATTCTTAAGGGCGTCGAAATAATATCAAAAATCGACTCGGGTATTCTGAATCGAGTCGAGATGAATACTTTCACTTGAGATTGAAGGGCGAATCCGATGTATTTCACAGATTCATATTCATTCTAATCAATTGAAACATTCGGAGTCAAAATCCATTCTAAATTTAAATGAAACATTCGCCCTTGCGATTTCGAACGGCAATAATTTCACCGTTGCTTCGAGCGAAAATACCACCACCACTTTTCGCTTGTTTTGAATGAGATTCTGCTCCCGGGAATTCAGAGAGTACTCGGAAGCATTCAAGCGTACAATTAAGAGGAAGAAGGAAAAAGAGGAAGACTCGATTACGGGGAAGAAACTTTCTGTATAGGGGGTGAGAGGGGGGGGGGNAGAGACTTACCGATACAGCCGTAGGAGATGTAAAGGTACTCGATGGAGGTGCTGAAGTACGAAAGAACGAAGGCGCCGCAGCTCAAGACACTGCCTAATATCGCGACCAACCTGAAGCCATATCGGTTAGCGAGAGCTGACACGAAGGGACCTGGAAAATTTGATAATTCGGTTGACGCGACGGTGACCTCCTCCCTCTCCTCCTCCTCCTTCGTCGACAACTGTGGAGTCTTTGCATTGACCTTCGGATAATCAGTGCGTGCGCGCATGTGTGTGTGTATGTGTGTGTGTGTGTGTGTGTGTCGCGAACGGAGACATGTAAATCATTCTCGTTACACCTTCGATTATCGATTCGCTCCTAATTATTACTTTACCTTACCTGCGAGGTGTATTGACCGCTCCGTTTGGCAATACGCTAACTCGACGTGGTCTAACACGTCGTGGTGGTAAGGTCGTACAACTGACATTGATAATCGATCAAATTCGCGGAGGCGACGTATTTTCACGTAGTGTTTGCACGAGTGACGTCACGGTCATAGAATGGTCGTTAAAGTCGTCGTGTTGCGGCGATATGCAGCGACAATGTCGTTTTGCGAGTTGACAATCGTAATTGCCACACTTGTCGTCGACGTTTAAATTTCTAGAATGTAACTTTCTAATTGTGCGTGAAACGCAAAGCGCACCTACCACGCTGCGTTACTCCACGCGCTTCTAATTCTCTATAAGCGCATAATATTAATTAATACTGAGTAATATTTCTGGAATATTAATAGATGGTTATATGTCCACTCCTAATAATATTTACGAAATAATATTATTTAATGTTATTGTAATATTATGTATTTTTTAAATATAAGAATAAGAATTCATCACCAATTGTTTTATTATATAAATAAA